GAAATCGTCAGACATATTTCCATTGCTTCGTTGGTATTACTGATATCAAATCTTGACAGAAGTAGTGTACAAGTTGATTGAAAGGCTACATATTTCTGAGGATGATCATTGTACTGCAATCTAGCTGATAAAATGAATTTATAAGCCTTTTGCCACTCCTTTCTTCATTATATCCAAATTCTTCGAAACATCAGAGTTGAGTGACAAAACATCAGAGTTGGTGGTGTAATTGGGTCAGCTAAATTTATGTCAAACTATATGTTGGATTAGAAAAAATTAAGAACACACCAAAAAGTAATGCCCAGCATAATCTTAAGATTTTGAATTAAACTGAGAAGCCCATCAAGTGGATACCCTGCATTCTAGCCAGACAAGTCAAACCTTTTCAAGTCTAGAAGACCATTCGAACTAATTAGTTTAAAAATTTGTTCAAAATGTAACATTTTTACACAAAAGGGTCTAGTTGAAATATACATCACTCTTTTTTAATTGATTTGTCCCCGGACTACGATTAAATTTTTGACAAGTTTTAAGAGAAATGTAGAGAGATTTTTTTCTTTTTTTAAATTAAAGAACTATCAAATTTTTAATGGCGAAGAAATAGTCAAATAGACGTTGTAATATATTTTTGAAGATTGTGCCTGTAATTAAAAATAAAGTGGGGTTGCACGCTTGGCAAGTAAGTCGAAGGCGAAGGAGTGAGACAAAAAGGGTTCCAACCGAGGGTTAGATTTTTGGGAATTTCACTGAATTTGATTTTGGAGTCCCATGCAAGTTTGGCATTTGACTCTCAACTTAAATTTTGTGGCACTTCCATTGTTGGTTTTGGTGCACCAACAGCACACACTTTTAGCTCACCCAACTACTCTATATTGGTTTCTGCGTCCATTTATATGTACCTTTTATCTTTCATTAATTCTAGCTCTTATTTATCACATAAATCAAAAACTATATAATATTTGACTTATGGGTTAGGTTTGTGTAACCTTGAAATTAAAATATTGACCTTATGTTTAGTTATGTAGATTGTTTTCTTCATACTATAAATTGTGTAATATCATGAAAACTATATGTAAAATTCATGTCATATAAATCGAGGCTCGTTAAACCATATTAGCCATTTATATGAAGGTGAATGAATTTGAGTATTGGAGTGGAGCATATTTTTCTCATACTATTGGTATTTTTATTTTTAATTAAAAAGTATATTCAAGTGATGAGGTGAATCAAACATTGCTTCTGAATCAAACTTTCTAATTGATATTTTAATTAAACACCAATGTTTCAGTTGAGTGATTAAAAGCAAACACACTATTGACTTATAAGCCCCCTCATCAAATTTTGATATTAGTATTTCGTCCCCCAAACTTGATTTTTAATGTTTTAAAATCATTTGATGAGGAATTGAAAGAAGCACTATTTAAATAATGGCAGTTTAGAAATTACATATAAGGTTTCTTTTTTAATACAATAAATGTGGAGATTAAACCTTCCAACCTTATCAGAAGTACAATGCCTTAACTGTTAAACCAACTGCTCATATTGACACATATGAAATATTTAAGAAAAGAAATTTGATTAAAAAATTTTAAGTTGATGTGATGTATTTATGTTAGAATGTATTAAAATATAGAGGTGTAGAAAATGGGGAAATAAATATATTTTACAAAAACTAAGATATATAAATCATCTCTTACAAGGGGTAATTTTGAGTAGAGATAATTTATTGAGAGAAAATCAAGAGAGAAATTTTTTAAAGATTTTTTTTTTTTTCAAAATTATTTAAGAACATTATAATTTCTGATAAGCCCCACAAAACCCTAAAAGCCAGGTACTGTTTAAAGTCTGAGAGATTAGATTATCATAAATGGGTCAAAGCTTGACTCATTGAAGAAAATGCCCATTTTACCCTTTTGCTGTAACACTAACACAAATTTCCCATTTTTGGCTTTGTCAAATCTTAGAAAATTAGTTAAAATTCTGACAAAGGCAGTGGAATAGAAACTGTGGGAATGGAATAGAAGCTGAATTTTGGAACTCCAAGGAACTCATCAAATTATTATTATTTTTAATCTTATTAATGAAATCTCATTGAAATTAATTTATATTTAATCAGAGAGTATCGAAAGTCGTTTTTAGGTCCTTGTTTCCATGTCTTGATTTCAAATATTAATCCTTTTTTAATTGGAGTCTCCTTTGAAAAACTCCACTCTCCATTACTAATCTAATTTATTACACACACACACTCACACCTAAAACTCCATGAGATTCAAATCTCCAGATTCCTCCATTTCCATAATCCAATTACCTAACCCCAACAAGTTCAAGTTTTTTGCATGTAACTAATTTTAATCAACAAATTACCAATTTTTACCACATGGGTTCTTAAAAAGTTGTTTTCTTTCCTCAAGTTCTAAACTTAATTAAAATCCATTATATTATTTTTTCTTGACCTTAGGGTTTTCTTGGTAGGTGTTTTACAAAGAGGAAGCTTTTAAGGGCCACCACAAATAGCGGCTGATCCCTCGGAAGCAGACCCCTTCTCAGGAAGCATATATTGCCTTCAATCTAACTCAACTTTCACACTGATCTCTCTTCAACACCTTCTCAACTTTTATCCTTTGTTCTTCATTTCTTAGTAACAAAGGAATTGGCTAGCTGAGTTGTTTAGGGTTTATAGAGAGGCAAAAAGAAGACAACTTTTTTTTTCCCCTCTTTATATAAATGGAGGAGATAAGTGATGCAGAAAGATCAGTAGAGGAGGTGATGTTGCCAGGGTTTCGGTTCCATCCAACAGATGAAGAACTTGTCGGATTTTACCTCAAAAGAAAGATCCAACAGCGACCTCTCCTTATTGAGCTCATCAAGCAAATTGACATTTACAAATATGATCCATGGGATCTCCCAAGTAAGAATAATAAAGATTCAAACTTTTTCACTCCCTACTTTAATTTATTGCATGTTTGAAATGAAGCCTGATTTGGGTCTCTTTTGTTTGTTTTTGTTTGAGTTTAGAGCTGGCAGGAAGTGGAGAAAAGGAGTGGTATTTCTACTGTCCTAGAGATAGAAAATACAGGAACAGTGCAAGGCCCAACAGAGTAACTGGAGCTGGATTTTGGAAGGCCACAGGAACTGACCGCCCCATCTACTCCTCCGATGGAAGCAAATGCATTGGGCTGAAGAAATCACTTGTGTTCTACAAGGGCAGAGCCGCTAAAGGGGTTAAAACTGACTGGATGATGCATGAGTTTCGTCTGCCTTCTCTCACCGATCCAGCTCCACCCAAGAGATTCATTGATAAAACCATTCCAGCAAATGTAAGACCCCATCTATAATTTGTTTTTGTTAAATGTTAAGATTAAGACGAGAGGAAACAACAATATGAAGTTCGAACATAGGACTTCCTGTTCGAATGAATAAATCGCTAGTCAACCGAAAGGCTTAAATTGATGAGTTGTATAAATTTAATTCATATATTCGATACCAGGATATCTAATATGTTTGTCCTTTTTTAAGAACTGTTATGAGTTATCCTAAAGATGATGGATCATAAAATGGTGGTGGTGCAGGATTCATGGGCAATATGCAGAATATTCAAGAAAACCAACTCTACCGCGGCTCAAAGAGCTCTATGTCTCTCTTCTTCTTCTATCCCTCCATTGTCTGAAATCAACCCATCCAACAATGCTCTCACCAAAGATGACACCTTTTTTTTCACATCAAAAACCAATTTACCGCCCTCCAATAATCCATTTTCTTTCCCTAACGAGACCCACCAATCTTCCATTTCCAACACTGCTTACCCTTTTGACTTTATTGCCTCCTGTAAGCCATTCAACCCTCAAATTACTAATAGAGTACTCTCCCACCACCTTCCCAACTTTTTTGCTGGGCCCATCACCACAGAACCAGAAAAATCCAGATCAGTGGACCTGTCTTCTATTCTCCTCAACATGTCATCGTCAGTGCTTGGAGATTTTGGTATTGTCAAGCCCACCGACACCATAGATTTCCATACGCAACAGCAGTTTATTACAAGCAGCAGCAACTATGATCCGCAGAGTTTGTCACATGAGATGATGCAATCAGCTGGTGACCAGTTTGGGGCTATAAGATCCAGTAGTACTGTTGGATATCCACTGAATTTGCCTTTGAATTTGAGTGATTCCGGGAAGTCAAGTTTTGTGTGGGATTCTTCTTCTTCATGCCCTAGTGAAGTTTCCACTAGTTTGTCTACAACTAATTGCTACACCTGATCATCCATTGAATCTGAGTAGAAACTTTTTAACTGCTTTTTTATTTAGGTGTTTATGTAGTTAAGTTAGCTAGAAATAGGGTTTAGTTTCCAATGGTAGGAAATACTACTCTTCAGTTGATATGTAAAAGCTGTTCCATCCGCAAAAGTTTTTGCAAATCATTAAAGTGTGAGTTATTTTCTCTCCTTCACCGGGAAAAAAAATGATTGAATATGACTCCACCTTCAAAAATCTGCATGTTTCGTAATAATCAGATACAAGTTTGAAATACATTTTATATAATTTCTCTCATAGAGTAAAATTATCAATCATGTTTTTTTTAGTACAACTTATGGGGTGGGAGATCAAACTCACAACCTTTTGATTAGAGATATATATGTCAATTATCGTTAAGCTATGATTGTTTTGACAAAATTATCATTCATGTTCTTTCACTATCTAATAATTTCTTGTTTCACAGACCTGAGAACTAACACGTGACAAATTTGGAAGATTTAAATTTAAAAAGAAAAATACTGGACTCTTTGATAGTAATGATAAATACTAAATTTTTTCCTATCACCCATAAATGTTTACGAACGGAGAGAAATGCAAAAATAATTGTTTTTTTCTTAAATAAAATGGTTGTGATGGTGGAAAGAGGGAAGTATTATCCATTAAATGACGTATGTGTATTTGTGTGGACCAAAAAATATATTATTTAGCCTATAAAATCTCACTGTATCCATGGTGTGTGTAGGGCAGCCTAAGAACGTAAATTATCATTTAGTATCCTTGAAATCAAACAAATACTTTTAAACTTTTCTACTCTTTTTAGTTTTATATTCTCTTAATCAATCTTTATTCTATTTTAGTATCCAAAGTCTAACATTTAATTGTATATATAATGCTTCAATGTAAGAAACTAACAGGGCGTGCATTTTTTTAGACTTTTCAGATAGCAAGTTTCCAAATTTTCTCATAGTATGACTTTGAACAAATGGATATATATTGACGAACCAAATAAAATAATCTCACCCCCATGAAATTCAACAGTTATAAATCCTCCTCCCTCAAACATCAACAACCACAGAGAGAAAAAATGGAAGGGAAGCAAAGTGAAGTTGTGTTGTTTGGATCGTGGTATAGCTCATACTGCACTAGAATTGTGCTAGCACTCAAAATCAAAGGCATAAACTTTGAGTACGTGGAAGAAGATTTAGCAAACAAGAGCGAGTTGCTCATCAACTACAATCCAGTCCATCAAAAAGTCCCTGTGCTCGTCCATAAGGGAAACCCAATTGCTGAGTCCTTTGTCATTCTTGAATACATAGAAGATCATTGGAACCACCACCCTAAAATTCTTCCAGAGGACCCTTATGAAAGAGCCAAAGTTCGCTTCTGGGCTCAATTCTATGACCAAAAGGTTTATTTCTTTTAATTTCCACCAAATTCATGCGCCGCTGATTTCAATCTTTCGTTCCCCTTTGATGATGTTCTGTTTTGTTTATGATATTTAGATAATGTTAGGCGCCTTGCCCATCCTCAAGTCATCTGAAGGAGAAGAGAGGGAGAGAGCTTGTGAGGAGCTATCGAAACTGATAAGGGTATTTGAAGAAGGAATGAAGAAAGATTTACCTGGAAAATTTCCCTTCTATGATGGAGAAAACTTGGGACTTGTTGATATAGTTGTGGGGCCTAATGCCTCCAACTATTTGGCCCTGCGTGAGGTTGTTGGACCTGTAATTGACTCCAAAAGAAACCCTGACTTTTTCTCATGGGTGGATGCTTTGAAAGCCCATCCTCTCATTAAGGAAACGCTTCCTCCTCATCATAAAATGGTCCAGAAACTGAAAGAGAAGATCCCTCAAAAGCCCAAAGATCACTGAAGGAATCATATAGATAAAGATATATGTTTGACTATGTTTACCAGTTCAGTGTGGCATATGTTTTATTTCATTAGTTTGTATGTATGAAGATCTAAAAGCATTGTAATAATCATAAATAAACAGAGTTTGCAGGAATTTTATGATGGAAAATACATATATTTCATTATAGAAAAGAAACTATCAGATTTGGAAATCAACGAAGCAAGTTATTCCAATATTCTCCTCTGATCTAAACCTGTGACAAAATTGAGATTTGAAGTCAAAAAGGAAAAAGCAGAAGTGCGGGCTCCAAGTGGACCTTTCTGTTTAGGAATGTAATTTGATTAAGTTTTTGGTTGCACCATAATAATTGGTCAACGGTCAACTTTGACATTCTCAGCACTCTTGAAATCAATTTCAGGTCAACCTGAGCAATGAAAAGTATTAGTGAATAACTCAGCCCAGCTTCCTCTTGCTTTTCCAACTTCTTTACTGAAAAATTATTGCTGCCTCTCAGAAGATCTTTCAGCTTTCTCTTAGTCTGTATCACCAGAAAACAGAATTTGTTAGGTACGAGTTGGCAGAAAGGCATTGTCATTGACGAACAAGATTGGTAAAGCCAACCTTCTGAAAGTGAGCTTGAATGTTCACCAACAAAAGCTGTAGATTTTCTGAACTTTGGAGTTCAACCTGATACTTTCTGTTGCATTTTAGGATATTTTTAACATCATTTTTATCAGAAAGAAGAAATTCATAGAAAACCCACATTGACTTCTCTATAATTTCTGCTAAAATATTACATGAAAAGTCATCCTCATCTTCCCATTCCCTTCCTTCAGCTTCTGCAGAACCACCATCATCTGAAGAATAATTAAACAGATTTATCATGATCCGGACCCCCAAAGTACCCAAAATTTGCTAAATATGTTGCAAATTCTACCTTTGATGGGTGGAACTTGCAGAAGAGAACGAAATACACATCGGTTCTGGACATAGTTTTCAACTCTGTTGCCCTGAAACCTTTCTTCCTCCATGAATCTTTTAAGCACGACTTTAAAAAGTTGGAACTCGCTAGCGACTTGGTTATACTGACAAATGCCTTGCGAGTCATGTCGTTGCAGCTCAATGGCCTTCCTAAGCTGCCATTGTAGAATTTCCCAGGAAAGACAAACTTGTCCTACGTACACCAGTTCCATGTCCCTTTGTAATTCTCCTACGGATTCAAGTCTTGGGTCAGCTGTCAGTTTCCGTGTGTTTCCCAACCATAACACTGAGTTTTGCTCTGAAATTGAATTCAGTGGATATTTCAACTGCAGCAAACCTACAGAGTTGAAATCCATTGCTATGTAAAAAGCATCAAGAGATATAACTATATATTGAATGATGAAAGTTTTTATATTTGATAATCATTTTAAACATGGTATAGTATGGTATTAGAGCATGTGGTACTGAATTATTTAAATATGCAACTCTTCACTAAGCCTTGAGACTTGTTCAGGGAAATATCAGACGTATAATAAAATATTTGTTCAAAATAATATTAGGCAGCAAAATGAGTAATGTAAGAACTTCGTGTTATGTAGGTGAATACGTACCAGTGGCATGCATACTCTGATTGTTTAAGATATCAAGTTTCCACATTTTCTCTGCATAAGTTTTGTATACCTTTCGTATCTCTCGCATTAGTTCTTCATGCTTAAACTTTTCATTAATTGCTTCAGGTTCCTCTTCAAAAATCGTTGGAAGTCCCCCAGTTTTTGCATTCCTCAGTTCCATTTCTAGCTGCTGTACTATATCCTGGTGATCTGGTAGATAGTTAAGTTCATACCGATGATCAAAATTCAATATGGAGGGCTTCTCCTGCAAAGTTGTTTCTGTGGATTTCTCTGGAACGTCGACAGATTCTTCCTCTTTCTGGGCCAAATTACTGAGAAAGTCAAGTTGCTTGTTTTCCTCAGCCTTGATCTCTTTGGAAGACGAACCAACTTGATCATGATTGATTCTTGGGGAGGCATTGGTTGAATCCCCTGCAGATTCTGAATCAGACGGAATTGAATAATCTTCCCAAAGCACTTGAACTTCCGCTTCAGGCAATGAATCAAACATATTGGAAGCACTATTTTCCGGGTCAACTATCCGTGCCTTTACTGAGAAATCATCCTCGGCACTGTCACCACTTTTCAAGACACCATAATTTCTTCCCTTTGAAACAACATCCAAAGCAATGGATTGAGTGTAGGCAAGAGCAGGATCGATATTACTCTCGTCAAGTTCTATCCCTTCCCAAGTAAATTCAGAATTTTCCAATTTCAAAAACGAGATACTCTCCTTAGAAACAGAGCTAAAAACAGAATTCCTCGTTTTCCCATTATTTGCACAATCCATTTCACTACTATCCTCCTCCGGAAGTTCGAAGGGTTTCGAACCAACTCGACCATTCTCCAAATGCCCACTTCTTTCATCATCTTTCTGAAACCTTTATGAGAAAGAAAACAGAGAGAAGAACCAATTAAGAAGGTCAGAAAACAAAAATGCATATCTGCGGAAAAATAAATAAAAAGAAACCTGAAAACGTATCGGTGAACTAATCGAAAGGCAGAGAACACATAGGTGTGAAGAAATATCCTAAAGGGAAGGAGGAGTGTAAGCATATTGCTGTGAGGAATAGAGTTCTGTAATTCTTTTGGGTAAGAAATGAAGAAGGGCATTGAGCGGAGAAAATTTCTGTGTAGCCATCAAAATCAAATTAAGGTCCATGGAATTTTGTCTTGATTACAAGAGAAGCTAAAGGGACACAGAAACTGAGATGGAGACGCTGCCTCTAATGACTAATCTTCTCAACCAAATTTCAGGGGAGACGATGGACGTTTCACTTGTAGATGCTCAAGTTTGAAGGTAAATTTCTTGTCAAATTTTACAGACAAATCAGATCACCAACGTCTCAGAGGATAAAAAAATTTGTTAGAACTCCAGAGAAAAAAAAAAATTTAATTTCCGATCCATGTATTTATTATTATTATTTTGAAAAGATTAAATTTTACGGTAAACTTCATAGGATATATTAATTTTATCCTACGTTCAACTTTGATAAATATTGTAATCTCTATTTATTAAAGTGGAGCAATTTAAATTATTATTCTTCCAAATTAGAAGTTTGAATTTTTCACTGTCTATTAAATTTTTAAAAAATGGTAAATTGAAAACATCACTTTTGAAATATGGTAACATTATACTCATAAACTTTCAATTATAAAAATTAAACTCTCAAAACTTCTATGATCGAAACAAATTGGATCCGTGAAGAAAAAAATTAAACCCTAAAAAATAATTGCACCTCTAGATTTTCAATTATTAAAATTAAACCTTAAATTTTAAAAAATTAAATTTATTTTACTCTATTTCTCCCCACATTTTTAAGGGTGGTTTTTGCAATATTACAACTACCATGTGAATGAATGTAACTTAAATTGACAATACTACATTACTACTCTCTTAAAAAATTTTAACTCCCTATAAATTAAGTTGTAACTATGAGTAAATAAATTAGTACTAATCTAAATATAACTCGACTAGTTAAGTGTGTGAGTTCGAATTTCCACTCCACATGTTCACATGGTTACAGAACTAAAAGAAATTACATAAACAGTTAATTTTAGTTTTAAATGTCGAGTAAGTGAATATTGTGAAATTGGAAATGATGAGGAATGTTCTTATTTCTCTCTCTCTTTTTTATAAAATATTTTTAAAATTATATAGAAATTTTAAAAACAACCCAATCATATTCTTATTTTTATTTTTAAATAAAATATTATTTTAATTATTATTGATTTATAGAAAATCAGAAATTATTACCCAAGATAATTATATTTTTCTTTGTAAAAAAAAAAAAGGGATAAAAAACAAGAAATCAGAGCTGTTACGAAACGGTACAGAACCGGACCATCACTGAGGACAAATACGGGATTTCCGTTGTTTCGTTTTCTGGGCTCCACTAATAGCTTCCTTTAGGCCCAAAAAGATCAGAGATTTCCGTTGTTTCGTTTTCTGGGCTCCACTAATAGTTTCTATTAGGCCCAAAAAGATCAGGGATCTTTGTGCAGCATGAGCTGGGTACCACTAAATTTTGTATTTCTCCCCCATTTCCTTTTAAATAACTATTCAAAGTGTTCGTAAATTAGTTTCAGTTATATCCATAAATATTTTGCATTCAATTCAATTTAAATGTGTTGAGTTATAGGAAAATGTAATTAACTATTATTTTAAAAATAATATGTAGAAAGTAATACCAATTTAACGTATAATATTTAACTAGATACAAACAACCTGATATTTCTAACTAAAGATTTAAAAGAAGTGTTATATATATAAATCTTCATTTCTCCTCCTTTTTATTGTCTATTAGAAAAATGAAGGGAAATAAATAATAAAATTGAACTAGAATATTTTAATACTGCTACCAAACGACATCTTCTATTTTTGTAATATTTTGAGAACAAATTCTTGAGATCTAAATAGGAGGTTTTAACTTTTGTATAAAGTAAGAGAGAGAAATTGAAGAGAGATAGAAATGAAGAAAAAAGTATTATAGATTGATAATGTGACATGATATTTGAACTACTACATAAATTTTTTAATTAACAAACGAATAAATAAAAGTTTTCATTTTTTTTTTAGTTTTGTTGCCCAGTGAATATCAAAAGTTTGAAACTTCAAATTTAAAGAATATAAAAATTATTCTGATTCACATCTCATATAAAATGGAGATACATTGCACGTAATTACCAAAAATAATTGAATAAAGCAAGCCAAGTCTGACACTTCAATAAAGTAGATTAATTTCACAACCACAAGTGCATCGGCAACTCAAAAAACACATTACTATAATTAATTTAACACAAATTATTCAAAATAAAGATAAAAGACACGTGACAAAACTGCTTAATAGCATTTTAGGGCGTCGGCAGATCTAATTTTCAATTTCATTTTTCGAAAAATAATTAAATAGATAAAACAAAAGAAAAAATATATTTTTACGGTTCATCTTTTGATTTGATGTAATAATGTAATGTTTTGAGGCTGCACAATCATTTATGTTTCGTTGTTATCATTATAATTTGTGCAACTAAGTGGGCGTGCAAATAATAAAACTTTATAATGATTTGGGCAATAAAATTTTTCTTTCTTTCTTTCTCCCGGTAAAAAATTATACATATTTATATTTACGGCAATTCAAGTATTTATTATTATTATTATTTATTTCTTGAGAAACTGAATATTTGTATTAAACTCCACATGGATAGATCATAGATGGGAAGAAAATCATCTTCTAGTAAACACGATGAGCAGATAGAAAATGGGAGAAAAGAAGAATTGTAAAAACTGCAATTCAAGTATTACATGTTACCTATTTCACTTGTGTTATTATATTGTTATTTTCAATCAAAGATAAAGTCTAAATTTACCTAGGTTGATATTTATAATATTTTTAGATCACCTTTCTATACCTATACCTATAGATTGTGATGTGACATTATATTTGTCGGTGATGATACCTTTTATTTAATTATAAAAAATACTTAACTTATAATATTTAATTAGTTTAAAGTATCCGTTGTAGTTCAATTTCTTTACCTTCACCTCTACTTTTTTTTTCCCAACATGTCATGTGAGTAGAAAGTTCTCCCATTTGCGCAAGATTTGAGGAAGATATTTTCTCCTATAAGAGATAGTTATTATATTACTTAGTTTTTTTAGTTATTGTGTAATGTTGACACCTGGTCTATGATCTTATTATTACTTTTCAATACAAGTCAGATTAATTTACTCTCAGTGTTAATGTGGTATCAAGATTAAGTGATTTTTTTTTCTCCTGAGAGTAATCTTCTGTTGTGCTCTTTCGTCATGTCTCTTCCCACTAATGAGATTGCTCCATTTGTCGAAGAAATCACCCCTCCCGCTAGAGTACTCCATTATCAATCCGTATTATCTCCATCATTCTAATAATACGAGTCTCATTCTTGTTTCCGAATTAATAACGGAAAACAATTATACTTCATGGAGTAGACCTATGGTGATTGCCGTGACGGTGAAGAACAAGATCGACTTAGTTGATGGCTCGTTTCTATTTATAAATACTTACTATAGGTGAGCCAATAAATTTGTCCATTTATAAGTTCGTAGGGTAGTCCTTGATATTCATGACTTCACATTAACTTTTATGTAATCTTACTTACGCTATTTACGTACTTATTAGTATTTAACTAGTATTAAGAACTAAAATGATATGCTATTTTTAAAATAAAAATATTTACCATAGAAGCTTCTACTAGTTCTAACATAAAAACAGTGGACAGAGTAAAATTTGAAATTTGACCCTGTAAAAAGGTTATGGAAGACTTAATCCGTTAAAGCTATGTTCAAACAAGTCAAAATATTATGTTTTTAGAATACTATATAAAGAAATAACAACTTTAGACTATGATACCCACCTCCCTATAATTTTAATATCAAATTTCTTAACAATCAAATGTAATAACATTAAAATGAGTAAGAAAAAAAAAATTATGCTGAAAATGTTAAAAGAGAGGAAGAAAAAATTGTTGGATGAAGAGATGTGACATTTAATTTATAAAGAAGGAAGGAAGCTTGGAAAAGCGAGGCTAGAGAGACAGCAAACATGTTTGTGCAAGAATTAGGAACCTACCTCCTGTTATGCATCAGACAAAATTGCAGATTTCATATCCCAACAAATCTCTCTCAAAATTCACAACTCTTTCACTTCCCCTTTCTTTGTCCAAACAGATCCAAATCAACCAACTTCAGATCATTCACTAAACATCACAAAATTAAAGTATCCCCAAATAATTGCTTTATCATAATCACTACTCTCATACTTTTTTACATCAACTGGGCGGATTTTTTTTTTCCCTTTTTTCTGCGATGTAATGAATAGTTAAATGGCGGATATGGAGGAACAAATTATGTACTCTCTTTTGAATCATTTCCACCATTATCAGAACTGTGAGAAGCTCTGGCTCTGTCCCCCTTCCCAGCTGCTCCGACGACGTATTTGTTATTGTGCATCCAAACTCTGAGCACCCGCTTCCCGATCCCAATTTCATTGCAGAATTCCTCCACTAACCTCTCGTCACTTTTGCGAATTTTCCATCCCATTTTCTCCGAGAATAAGTACATCTTCTCCTTCTGCTCCACGCTGAATTTGGTCCTCTTTCTCTTCCTCTCTTTTGGGCTCAATGTCAATTGATCGCCACGGCGGTCGTCCGGTGGCGCTCCGGTGCTCAATGCCAGCAACATGTGGGGGGCCGAGAAGTGGAGCGGGGGCGGTATGTGCGAAATTGGTAAAGGGACCGGCGAGGATGGGCTTTGGGCCTTGTTTGGGCTCGGGCTTGAGAGCCCATGAGAGTGGTAAGGGTAACGGCGGTGGGCGGCGAGGTTTGGCCAGGGATCGTCGGGTTCTCGGCGGTGGAAGTTGCGGTGGCAGCCACAAGCAGCGCAGTTTAGAGAGGTGGGATCGGCGGGGGTGGCGGTTAGTGAAGGCATAAACTCGCCGCAGCCGTCGAGGGCGTGGCCGCCGACGGTGGCGGCGTGGTTCTTGAGGCATTCTCTGTAGGAGGTGAGCGTGAGCATGGGTTGTGGGATTGAAGAAGAGGAGGCTAATTCCATGGGTGGCAAATGTTATTGGCTGATCTCATTTATGCTGGAGATAATTTCGTTGTTTTCCACTCACACAATGATTGGGAATGGGATTATGGACGCAAAAAAAAAGGGGTCCAATTTTGCATTAGACGACGTGACGGTGACGACAATCATGATTTGGAATTGGAATTGGAATATAACATTTTGACCAGAGGAACATTTTAATTAGAAAAATAAAGGATAAGAGATTAATTAAGATAATCGAAGACTTGATTGAATAATAATAAATAAATGGTTGAGGGAGAGGAGGAGAAAGGAAGAGCAAGAAGGTGGAAAACTTCATGGCCACTGATTAATGGAAAAGAAAAGGGTATTGATTCAATTAGATATAAATCCTTTGGAACTTGATTTGATATGTACTCAATAATTAATTGGGATTTGGTGATTAATTAGATATATGTCTTGTTGTTGATTTAATAATGTCAATACATTTTTTTCTTTTTGCTAATTAATGTTTTCGGGAAGCGGGGTGGGGATATTCTATCATCTGATCTGATGACCCCGTCATTTGCTCCCGTGCCAATACGTGTCCCTTCCAGAAAATTTCAGATCCTGTTTTTTCTTAAAATCTACATTGACAAACTTTGAATAAAATAAAAAATAAAAAAACCTTACTCGATGAAATAATAAAATTAAAATAAAATTTTTTTATTGCACACCCCTCCACTATTCTCACAAATAACCACATAATTCTACTAAATTTGATAGCCAATGTAACTCATGAAATTGAATACTAGATAAACCACCACCAATAATTCAAATCCATTCTGTCTCAGCTTTTTTCTTTTTTCTTTTTTCATTTTATTTCTATCGTCCATTGACTCTCCGTCAAGTGATTACTAAAAAAAATTCAAATTCTCTTATCCATATTTGTTTAACTATAATTTTTTCTTACAATTAAAATTCAAAGTCTTCCCCCCACTTTGTGTTTGATATTTAAAAAAAAATCAAAATCTTTTTAAAGTATGAGTTTGTAAAGCTCACCCAGTCAAATATAATTATTTGAGGTTTTTTCTCGTTAGATTATGTATATTAAGTTATTTTCGTCATCTTCCAATTGTGTTAATTTGGTCGTGGAAATTATAAAAATATTTACAAATAGTCATTAAATCTATCGATCTTATTGATATAATATCAATATCTATCTAGTTCTTCATTAAGAATTATATAATCGCATTAGTTTATTAATGATATCACACTTACATCACTTGTTTGTTAAGTATTAATTTGACTAACAATAGGGACTAGTAAACTGTGGACTATACATGTAATTCAAAAAAGATAAACCTGGCTAGCTAAAAGAACTATTTCAAATATAAGGGTAAGAAGAGAGACATAAATTTGAAAGCAAAATATCCATTAATTTCCTCCAATGAACTAAGGTTTACAACTTGTGTGTTAAAATTGTAGTTATCCAAAAACGAAAAGATAAGAATATAGAATAAGGAATGGAGGAAGTAAGTTGTTAGTGGTGGACACGTGTGAGAAAGGGAGTGAAGGCAGTGGCTGGGACATTGCCATGTTATGGGCCGTGTGTAACACATCACTTTCTGGTTCGGGGTTAGTGCCATAATGGAAGCCATTAAGAGATAATTAAGGGCTCAAAATTGGGGAA